ATACCTTTTGTCTAAATGGCGATGCATTTATAGAGTAGCTGCAAATTCCTGTATCAGGAAAAATGGTTCTACGATCTGGATTGTGGTCTTCACTTTTCTTCACTTTGTTCTGTATCTGGCCTGGGCAAACTTTTTTGCCTTGGGGCCGCATTGTGGATTGGCCAGGAGGGCCAAGCAAGGAGGGAGGGGGTCTGGACATGCTGGATGAGGAGGGCCCGGGAGAGGGGAAAGGGCAGGGCCCGGGTCAGCCTCAGGTTGTCCTCCCATCCTTATGCCAGGAGGAAGGTGGGACATGCAGCAATAGCCTCTCCATGTGGTTCATCACAAACATCATTGTCAACAAATTTTCTTCTCTTAATTAGAAACTTATCCATTTTAGTGTCATTTAGTGCAACTCAATCAAGAAATTATAACAGTACCTACACTTGAAGAGCACCAAACTTTGTTTGTGTGGCGGAGGGGGACATTTTTCATGAGACACACCCAGGGACTACAGGTGACACACTAGTGTGCCCCAACAGACAGTTTGGAAAGCTCTGCCCTTGGGTCTAATATCTACATATGTCAGATTGATAATCCCGGAAGAACAATCTTAGAAGAGAACATTGGCATTATGCCCAATTTGAAATGAGCCACATAACATCACAAACCTAGGACCGTTCCACATCAGAACGGAGCTTTGAGAACACATCTTGTATTCACTGCCACATAGTTTATATCTCTCTGCATGATGAAAAGGAGCTATGAACTAAATCTGCGCCATCATATGCCTTATCATTTGTCCCTAATGCTGTAGTACTTCAAATGTAGGTAATTGTCACTAAAACTGGCCAACACACATTTTGGTTCCTCAAATGTTAGCCTTGTTTCTAGGTCTATTTGACCAGCTGATTCCAAAAATGGCACAAGTTTCCCTGCACCCGCTGTAGTTTTTGAGATACAGAACATAGGCCTTCTACCCATAGAAAATCATGATAACCCTAGTTAAGAAACTATCCAATGCAATTTTCCGAATCAGTGCCCCAAAGAACCCCAGGAACAGGCCTAAAAGCCAAGACATCACAAATTGTTTTTTTATGAAGCTTCTCTATCTTCAGCTTTCAGTTATGTGGTCTATCTTATGTTTATCAAATGACATCTATATGTACTGTTACCGCCTGGGTTGGCTGAAGAGTATGTTTGTGATGAACAAATGGTTATCTTTACAAAAATGATGAAAGGTGTGTAGAAATTAAACATATGAGGACAGGTTGAAGGTGCTGAGCATGTTCAGAGACCCTCTTTAAATATCTCAAGGGCTGTTGTAGAGAGGAGAGTGCAGGCATGTGGTCTGCTGCTTCAGAGGGTAAGCTCAAGTCTTATGGTCTAAAGTCACAGGAGAGTAGATTTCAATTGAACATTAGAAAGAATGTTTTGACACTAAGAGCAGCTCAGCAATGGGACCAGTGTCTAGAGATGTAGTAGGGTCTCCTCGTGATGATGATAATTTGTATTTGTTACTGCCTCTCCTAATAGCTCGAGGCGAGGTACAACACAGTCAAAACAAATCAACATAAAATACATGCAGCAAAATACATATATCAAAACACACTACTATAAAATACATACAGGTCATTCCATAATCTTCCCTGGAAGATGAAAAGGATGCCAGTCAGGTTCAAGATGGTTGGAGTCAGCGTCCCTCAGAAGACTTCACCATCCTAAAGAGCAGATTGTGCAAGAGAAGGTGAACCTGTAGGTAACCTGGACCCAAACAATTCGGGCTTTAAAGGTTATAACCAACATCTTGTACTTTGCCCAGAAACCACTTGGCAACCAGTGGAGTGACTTTAGGATAGGTGTGATATGCTCACTCCTAGATGTAACCAATTGGGCTGCCATGTTTTGAATTAATTGGAGGTTGCCAGCCTACTATAGTAATGTGTGCCTGCCTACGACAGCCAAGGTAAACAGCAGCTGCCTCAATAACTTGTTACTGAACATAGATGAACAGGAGAAGAAAGGGAAAAAGAGAAAGCTGATTCATCTTCCTCACCAGCTACCCTGAACATATTTAAAAACATATTTAAAAACAGTGTAGATCCATACATTTGGGAGCAAAAGTGGGAATCACAAGAAAAGAAGAGGCCAATGAATGAAAAGGCTATTAAACAATTAAACAATCATTAAACAATTAAACAAAATTAAACAATCAGACCAGGTAAACCTTTTACTTATCATTAGTTTTTGATAAAACATTTGCTGAAAAACTTGTTGACTTCCTCTTGTTTTTCCCTATTCTTTCCACATTTTTTATGGTACCAAGTTTTCTGTTGAAGAAAAATGGTCTAGGAACACATGGACTTTATAAACTGATGTGTATAAATGCCTGCATCTAGAAGAATTTTGTGTACATGCATGTGTGTATTAAAGCGAATGAGAGAGAGAAATTTAAAATAAAGAATTTATGAATTTTTTGAAGTTTTTAATTTAAGTGCGAACCAGATTGGGGCTGGTGGGAAAAAAATATCTGGAATATTTTGGCATTTGTGCTTATGCACAGACTCTGTAAGATTTGTCTGTTGTCCTGCCAAGATCCTTTTTGTGTTTAAACAGACAAAAATGACTTAATCCTTTTTAGTTTTGTTTTTAAAATAAATCTCCTTTCTTTGCTAATTCAAGCCAAGGAATGAAGGCTGATTATACAGAGAGCAAGTGCCTTAAGTTATGGCTTTCTTCTTTCAAAAGGTGGGGCAGCAAAATTATGATCCTCACATCTACATAACAGTTGCACAGATGCTTTCCAAGTTGATTCCTTCCTCTAGATCAGTGGTTCTCAATCTTTGGGTCCCCAGATGTTTTGGCCTTCAACTCCCAGAAATCCTAAAAGCTGGTAAACTGGCTGGGATTTCTGGGAGTTGTAGGCCAAAACACCTGGGGACCCACAGGTTGAGAACCACTGCTCTAGATCCAATAATCTCCATGGAATCATAGATCAATATGTCCTATTCTCATCTGAACTGGGGCATGCTCCTCAGCATTAAAACAGTCTAGCAAATTTTGGAGACAATCATTCTTGGTGTGAGTAAGACAAAACATGCAGGGCATGTAAAGGTCCTTGTGGTATAATGATAATGATCCATAGAGAGCTTTTGAAATGCAAAGATAAGAAATCATTTTATTAGTCAGGGCTGGTCCTACCAGTAGGCACAGTGGGACAACTGTCAGGCAGACAATGTTGGTGGAGTCCTGCTTTCCTAACCATGTTCTTCTGTTGGTGGACAGAGTTGTGTCTACATCTTATAGTAGCACAGGTATGATGGAAAACAGCTTTGTCACAAGTATTGACATAACGTTCAACTGCCAATCCTTTAGTTATGTAGCTAGAAAGGGGCAGAGGATGTCCTTTTCTTCAAAGTAGAAGGCCAGGAAGACTACTTGAAGTGAAGATGACAATGATTTTGAGGAAGGAGTAATGTTTTGGGGAGCAATACTTCAGCTCAGGTTCTAGGACACTTGTCAAACTCAAGGCTCACATCTGGCCCTCCATGTCATTTTATGTGGCCCACCTTCAGATGCTGAACTCCAACTCCTGCATTTCTCACTATGAATAGAGCTGATGAGCTCAGATACAGTGACATCTGGAAAGCTACAGTTTGTTCTGTTTAGTCAGGAGAGTGGGGTTTGGATTTAGATACAAGGCTTGTGTAGATGATGACTGACTCTAAAATATCCTCTAACATTTTCAAAACTCGGGCCATATGCGCTGATGATTTGCAATCCCCATTATCCCCAGACTCCATGGCAGATCAACAGAAGTTATGGGAGTTGTAATTCAATAACATCTGGGGTCCAAAATTGGGTAAAAACAAAAGAGCACTAACCACTATGTAAAAAAAATATAGTTGGCCCTCTGTATCCATAAATTCTCCATCCATGGATTCAGCGATCCTTTGAAGGAAACCATAAGGCTGGTGTGAATAAGTTTGATCTAGGAGTTCCAGGTCTAAGACTTTCAACAGCTTAGCAGTCTTAATTGTAGCAGATGGTTCTGGCACCAAGATATCTGAAATATCACTTATCCCACGTGAACCTGCCCTTATTTGCAGTCTTCAATCCCTGTTGTACCATCAAGACTGGGTACATGAGACAGGGCCCTTTCTGTGGCAGCATCTTATAAAATTCATCAAGAGGGAATCATGTCATCTTCCAGATATTCTTGGAATGCAGCTCTCAACATTCCTTACCATCTGTCTAGGGATGCAGGGAACGGGAGCCCAGCAACACCAGAAAGCACCCTGATTCTCCTCTCGTTCCCCCTCTAGAGAAAGAGCCTTATTGATGCCTGCCCCAGAGAGGCCAGCATGGCCCATATTTTGCAACAGGTCAGAACATTTTCGTGCTGGCACATCAACTCTATATTATATGGTTTTCTGTGGGCGAGCAGATGGCGACTACTGGATGGAATATGTTCTGTATCAGAAACTAGAGCTGATGTGGTCTATCCAATGCAATTTTCTGAATCAGCACTCCAAATAACCAAACCGAATCTAAAGTTGACCAAAAACCGATTCATAACCCTTTTGGTACTAATGTTGGAGAATGGCCCCTGGTCAAAGTGGTTCCTGGTCGAGTGGTCCCTGATTTTAAAAAGTTGGGAACCACTGTTCTAGACAGACAGTAAAAGCTGCAGTGTTTGACTAGGATTTTGGTAGAGGTTGATATGCTTAGAGCCTCTTAATAATAATATTTCAATCTGTTAAAATATCTGTTAAAATTAATCTGTTTTAATTTTATGATGTTATTCAAAATTATATATCACTTTGAACATCCACCTCTTCAGGCAATAAAGCAAATTACCAATAATGTATATAGAATATGTATTATGTATGTATAACTAGATGCTGGCCTCAAATCTGGTTTAGCCTGGAAATGGGGAAATGCCTGAACAACTGGCTGGATGCTTACATTTATTTAAGAACACTAGGATGAAGTCTCCTCACTGTCTTTTTTCCTTCCAGGTATACTATTCTTGTGGCGCACAGTTCAAATCAATAGAGAGAGGCCTTATTTTATCGCCTGGTTTCCCCAACAATTATTCATCGGGCATCCATTGTATTTGGCAGTTCTTCATCCCTGCTGGGACATACCTAATGTTGGAAATTTTTGACTTTGATGTATTTGAAAGCCTAAGCGAGGACCCAAATGCCTGGGATGATTTTCTAACTCTTCCCCAAAGTACCAAGAAAGAGTTTCCCCACAATGGGGCAAATACAGACTTCCCTAGTATCTTTCCTACTAAGAGCCCCACTCTCCAAAACTTTCACTCAACAGATTTATATCATCTTCATGGTGGACGTCCAAAGATTGCTTCTGAAAAACAAGAGTCTACCAAACAATTCCAACAAATAAAAGAACCAAGAGAGTTAGTCATTACACAGCCTAGCCAACCACCATTCATGGCAGCAACCAATGTCACCTTACTCAGACGAATGAACAGTGGCATACGGGAGGAATCTAAAGACCCAAAGGACCAAATGTTGGTTGCTCACCTTACAGCTAGTGGGAGAAAAAAAGATTCTGAAGGCTCTCAACAACGTGCAGAAGACACGGCTTTTGGACAGGACGAAGACATCTCAACGATGACTTTGTCAACAGAGACGTCCTCCAACCCAGTGGCCTCAATGGAAATTTGCCCTCATGATGTCTTGTATGTCTCTGACCTCTTTGCCTTTTCATCTCGCTTCTGCGGCACAAACTCTCCCCAGAACAAGAACATGACTTTTGGGTCCTCTCTAAAAATGGTTGAAGTAATTGTGGAGCTCATTACTACCACAGACCGCGGGCGAGGCTTTGCAATGCTCTTTGAATACAAGAACGATACGGAGCTGGTGGCCATGAGTGACTCCAACGAGGGGAAAGAAAATGTTATGATGCTGGTCATCATAACAGGGATCCTCTTCTTTGCGCTTGTTCTTTTGTCCTCACTCTGTATAGCTTGCAGGTAAGTGTGGCCGTTAGGGACTCGATTTTTTTTTAATCCTTTATCATTCCAATCTGTCTTTCCACTAGAAATGCAAACCATTGAGATTCTTTTGAGGGCTATGTTTCATGAATTGATCCAGTCAATCAAGCAATTTAAAACATTGTAATTGATTTTTTAAAAGATGCCGGAGTAACCTGGCAGCAGATATTTAAACTGAAAGTAGTTCTAATACATGTACTTATAAAAACAGCAGGTGCCAAGTGCAATCTTTGTTAGGGCTGTGTATCTCATCTACGACTGGTTTCATCCGCCCATCTTCTTTTGAAATCTATTTCCTGCATTCCTCCATGTGAGCACTTTCTACACATTTTTAAAAAATGTACATATGGTTTGAGAGCATTTTCCCATCAAATAAAGTCTGGATCAACACTGCATGGCATACACCGGAACTGTGCACATTCTGGTTAATGAGGAACTGACTTGTAAAATACAAAAAAGGGACTAGACAAGGTTGCCCCCTTTATTAATAGTTATTTTAATGGTGATAGAGGCTTTGAACAATGCCATAAGAACAGCAGAAGACATTAAAGGAGTAAAGATAAAAGGTCAAAGTTAAAAGCTTTTGCAGCTGACCTAGGGATATTTTTATAGGATCCTCCGTATACAGGTGTGAGTTTGAACTCTGTATTGAAAGAATATGGAAGATGTCAGGATTCAAAAGTGACAAGGGGACAGCAACAGTGTTGACTAAGAACCTGACGAAAGTGGAACAGAAAATCTTATCTGAGAAACAGGACTTCATCACATTGAAGCAGTGAAGTGTTTGGCAGAGTAGAGCTCATTCTGACTCAGTTTTGAAATGAACAGATGATTTCCCTGCCTTCATCAACTGTTAAATGTATCCGTGTCATTCAGTTATACTCAGCATTCTTTCAGTAGATTTGCCATCACACTGTAACTGCTAGGCACTGCCCACCATCCCCCTCCCTTGTTCTTTGTGGGGGGGGGGGGGACCTCTTCGCTTTGAAATGTCAGCTATTACATGTCTTCATTTCCAGAAGGAAGAAAGCAGGGAGTGAGGGAGGAAAGGGGTGATGTTCGCTCTCTCTCCCCCCCCCCCTCTCAGCTGCCCCACAGAGAAGGGTTTGGACCTTGGAAAACTATAACTGCCAGGACTGCATACTATGGTGCTATGGTATTTAAAGTAAGGTCCAGCTGCATTCATTTCACAGTGTAGATGCACCCAGAGAAGGTTTATGGACTTTGGGAAACTGCAATTCCCAAGTCCATCTCATGGAGACATGGCATTTAAAGTAAAGTCCAAGAGCATTCATTCCATAGTGTAAATGCATCCAGAGAAGGGTATGAACCTTGGGAAAATAAATCCCAGTACTGTACAGCATGGAGACATGGCATAATAATAATAATAATAATAATAATAATAATAATAATAATAATAATAATAATAATACTGTAATAATAATAATAATCATCATCATCATCATCATTCTCTCCCAGCTTTCCCATACAACACAAGACACAAACATATCATGGAAGGGAGGGAAGGGAAGGAAAGGACCTGGAAAGGCTATTTTTTTAAAAAGGAATTGTTCTGGCAAAGTAAAAATTTGGTGAGCAAAAGGTAATGCTTTCCCTAACAAGGGTACTTCTGGTTCCTCCCACAAATTGGGGAAATGTTTTATTTTAAACCTGAGAGCAACAAATGCCACCACATTACAGAATTGGCCAAACTTCCGGACGGTTACCAAAAATCCACTTCCCCACCACCTCCTGAAACGTGTGAAAAGAATGCTAGCCCCCATGCTTAAAATATGCAAAGAATGCTCTACACTTGAATCCAACCGAATGTGATGAACACAGTGGCATACCACTTTTAAGTGTAACACTTAGTGGAATTTAGTAAATGTGATGAAGTGGTAGAGGATTCCAAGTTCTACAAAACGTTCAATATTTGAGTAGTAATATTTCTACTGGAGCCCCTGGTGATACAGCGGATTAAACAGCTGAGCTGCTAAACTTCCTGACTGAAAGGTCGGCGGTTTGAATCTGGGGAGTGAGATGAGCTCCTACTGTTAGCCCCAGCTTCTACCAAACTAGAAGTTCGAAAACATGCAAATGTGAGTAGATCAATAGGTACTGCTCAGGCGGGAAGGTAACGACGTTCCATGCAGTCATGCTGGCCACATGACCTTGGAGGCATCTATAGACAACGCTGGCTCTTCTGCTTAGAAATGGAGATGAGCTCCACCCCCTAGAGTCAGACATGACTAGACTTAATGTCAAGGGGAAACCTTTACCTTTATCTTTAATATTTCTACTAAAAACTGAGAGAATGTTGTTTAAGGATAATGAGGCTACAATATGGAAATATGTTGTTTAAAAGATCTTTTTATAGTTGCGTGGTTCAAATGTGCACATTTCTGGGGATGCCTTCACTGCTCTCCATCAATGTAAGGATTCCCAGGGACTGGGGACTGAGTCAAACTCTTTCTGGGCTCCTCCTTGCACACTCATTGTTTTTAATGGTGCAGTTGACTGCCACGGGAAGGGAAAGGAGGAATGCCTCTTGTAAGACTTAATCTGCCATGGAAACTCACTGGGTAACCTTGGAGTAGTCACACTCTCTCAATCTCAGAGAAAGGCAACGGCAAACTTGCTTTGAAGGAAGTTAGCAAAGAAATCCTGTGCCACATTCAGTTAAAGGTTTCAGTAAGTTGAAATTACTTGCAGGCACACAACAAAAACAAGAATACTTAAAGCATTACATCAGGATCCAGCTGCCTTTTGTTGCCCTCAATCTGTGAAATAAAAGTATGTTTAAATTGCATTGAAAATCTTTTGGGGATGATAACTGTTAGTTTATTTTCCTTTGTTTATTTAGAATTATATTTGTAGACATATTTGCATCTTTGTGAATGAAAACCACATCTGGTCCCCAAATAAAAAAAACTGGTAGCATTTCTTATTCTAGTTTATTTTTCATTTGATGGGTTTCTAGCATAATTCACAGGAGGAAGAAAATGGCTTGCAGAATTAGGAGGGAACCATGCGCATTGTCTTCCTTGGAGGGAAGGAGAGATATTGCAAACATTTTATTGTAAAGTAATATAATATAATTGAATGGATTGAATAAAGGAGATGGGACATTCTAAACATGTTTCAGTTTTCCTCTGTCACATGGTAGGGTGAACATGGCCAATAAGGGGAAAATGCCATTAAAGCATTAAATATTAAGTATACAGCCAGACCTCAATTTTCCCAGGAGTTGGGACACAGGATTCCCATGAAAATGGGGAAAAAACCTCAAATTAAGCTTCTCAACATTCATGCTCCAAATTCTGCTTCTGCAGCGATCTTTGCCTTGTGAGAGGGAGGTGTCATGGTGTCAAGGTTGGAAAGGGAGGTATGGACCAAGGAATGGGTGAGGAAAGGAGATGCAGAGGAGGAGGAGAAGGATAACAACACTGTAGGAGGTTTTTGCAGCAGTAACGTCATCCTAGATTAGGGCTTCTTAAACTCTTCAGCTTTGTACTCCTTTCAGATGAGAAATTTTTACACAACCCCAGGTATATAAAACAGGTATAGAAATCAAACATTTACTGATAACAAATCAGTATTTCAAGACTTACTAAATAGGCTGATTTTCCTTTTTATGAAGCACAGCTGAAGTATCATTCCCCTGACTTAAATCTTCATCACTTTGAGCCCCAGGAAATCCCACAGGCAATCCCACAGTCCTCTCTAAATCATCAGTGAACCCATCAGCCTCAGGAATCTCAGACTGATCTCCAACATCAGCAGTCTGACTGTGTTTATGCTTTGCTTTACTTATGTAGCACACATGGCATCACACACACCTATGAGGGAGGATTCTGCCCGTTTGAGGCAGTACCAAGGTTTGCTGACGTAAAGACAAATAGAATATCTCCTTTGGGGTGGCAAACAAGAGTTTTCTAGCAAGGATTTGTGTGTGTACAGTGATTGCAATTTGCTATCTGACTGGGATTTTGGAGGGGTGGGCATCTGGGGAGGGAAGAAGGATTGAACTAGAGTGGCTGGGCTCCGGGCGTAAAGATGCTTCACACAACTACATTGTATTGTCGCAGATACAGCTTGTTAATTAGAATGCATTTGTCTCTGTTACTGGCAATTGACTTGCCATATCTGTGGCATTCAGCTTCAGTGTTCTGAGTTAGCTGACACAGAAAGTGGCGGCCTTAAGTCGCCCTCCTGGCTGAGGGAGAAGCCTCCACAAGAGAAGCCAATCTTCTTGGAGTCATCAGTTTTCTGCTCTCGTCCTGCTTTCTCCCTGAGCTTTGTCCTTGGGAGCCCAGAGCTTGTCAGAACTTGGCTACCCTTTCCTTCCCTCTGCTCTTCTATTTTGCTTCTTGTTGTTGCTCTCCTTGCTTTTCGTCCCTTGCTGTTGAGCTAAAAGTAGCAGCTCCCCACTCCGGTGCTGGCACCCAATGCTTTCAAATGAATGTGTGTGTGCGCAAGGGAGGGGGGTCATCCCGAAAGGTTCGCTGGAGGCTCATTCCCTTTTGCTGCCCCTGGGGAGGCTCCAAGATTTTGCCACACTGTTGTCTTTGTTTACCACTTGGAGAAGCAATGAAAGCATTGGTTGTTGGTTGCCAGGTCCTTCTAATTACTTTTGGCCAGGAGGCAAGTTGGAGGGGATGCCATCCCTTGCCTTCTTGCCCAGGCCTTCACAAACAAGAGGCTTGTCTCTCTTATTTAATTTTCATCATGCTCTGCAGACTTTGAGGTTTGCAATGTGTTTGTGTATGTATGTGTTTTCGTTGGCTTTTTTTGCTCACTGCCCGAGAAGGATGAAGAGGCAACAATGGAAGCATGCACAGGCACGCCGTGGAATGTCTGACCAGCCAAATAGCTATTCCTGACAGTGACCTCTATGTTGACTGTCATCTCACCAGAAGAGGAGACGGTTGTTATTCTACTCTCGCCTGCTCATGAGAAACACCCATGCCTGCCACCTT